CTTTTTTTTTTCCGAAGTGCTTGTACCATAATAATTTGGCAGAGCAGGTGGGGGAAGACAATTCAGACACTGTTGCAAATCTCTGTACAAAAGTAGTATATGAGAAGCCAGGTCAGCTTGCAAGTGTTTTTCACATATGACAGCAAAAAGGAGTTCCTTCCCTTTCTGTATCATCGAAGACTGTCAAAAGTGCAGTTGAAGAGCTTGCTGTAAAAGACAAATTTTATTTCCTTCAAGCTAATCACAGCTTGCTTTTAAAAGCAGACCTAGTGGACTGTTGCTGGATTGACAACCCAAGGTTGTTAGATAAGCCTGCAACCCAGACTGCTTAGCAAGTCTGTGTGAGTTTCCTTATGAAAAACAGATGAGGAGGTCGGTTTGGTGGGAAAGTGTGTGTGTGTGTGTAAGAGCACAGGAATACAGACAGCAAATGCAGCTGTTTTCCTTTTAGTGTTGGATGCTCAGTCTTTGGTAGGTGGGATTAGGCAAGACGAGCACCCCAGCACAGGCCTGGCATCTCTTGTCCCCAGAGCAGAGCAACATTTTCTCCAGATATCCACTGGGCAAATTTGTACAACTATAAATGGTTTTGCAAAGTATAAGTGGTTTTCAGGTGCACTCTAAAAGGTCTTTATTTGCAGAGTGCCAGCCCCTCTGCAATGCTAGCCCTTTTTCATTCTGCCAAACCTGAACTTCTGAAAATAATGTGTTATGGTCTCTCAGCAAAATTTTAAAAAGTATCTAATTAAAAATTAATTCAAAGTGATGCTTAAAAGTTCTTAAAAGTGAGCTATGCATTTTGAGGTGACTCAGAGACCAATGTATCTGTGCCTCACTGCCAAGACAAGGGCAGCCAAGTTTGGGAGACCATAAATTATTTTCGACATGAGTCTTCCAATTGATGAAACTTTTCCTTATGCCCTTTAGAAGGTGTTGGTTCTTGTCTTTTCAGTTTTACTAATGGAACATCTTGCTTTCCTCCACTCTAAGGTCTCCGCAGTCCCTTGTCAGCAAAGAGTTTCCAAATGTACACAGACTTAAGCATCCTGAAACAAGTCAGGTTTTTCTTAAACACCTCAAGAAACTGGAGACTGTGGACAGTTCCCCACCTTCTTTGCAGGAGAGAACTTTGTAGTTCCTGGTGGGGGAATATCTGCTGGGAATTTTCCTCATGGCACCCCCCTTCCTTGGAGGTTCCCCATGTGATGGGGCTGGTCAGTCTCATGCATGCACTGGCACAACAACTTTTTTGGTGGATAGGCTGACTGTAGGTTACATCTCAGTCAGCGTCTTGAGGTTCCTGAGAAGGAGGAGGCTTAGCTGTGCCAAGAAAGCAAAGTGGTTGTGCTAGCAGTGAGTCCATGCAACCTGTGTCTCTGAAGGGCAGTGGCTGCTGCAAGAGCTGTGTGCTCCAGCTGCCACTTCCAAACAGTGAGCCAGGTACCCAGCCAGAGCAAATTGTCATGTTGCCATTGAAATCAGCCCTGACTTGGAGCTGGCTGGAAAAGATGGCCTCACCCTTTCTTCTGGGAATGGTCTTTCCAGAGCATGAACCTCTGGCTATGGACTGAAAGCTCATTTTGTTTTTTCCAGGTTGGCTGAGTACATTGGTTGGCTGGTTTCTGGATGAAAGCATAGCTCATAGTTTCTGTGAGCTTTTTTTTCCTACTAAGCTGAGTATAAGAATACAGATTATTCTCTGTTTTAGCGTGAGGGTTTGAAGTACAGAATCTTGGTGTTTCCAGCACGAAATGCTCCAGTGTAAGGAGCAGACTTAATACAGTGCAGCAGACTGTTCAGCAGTAAGATTGCTCTGGGGGAAGTTTCTTCCTCTTCCACAAAATTAATGAGTGTTTTATATCCTGAAGTCTGGACATTCCTATAAATTTTATACCTAGCATAATGGTAGAGGCTTAAACCACAGAAATCACATTATGATTATGACCTGATTACACAGAGATCCAAGACAGGATTTTTGATCCCTTTTTGGGCTGTTCACTTAAGAGGGGACTCATTGATCCTTGTGGGTCACTTCCAACTCAGGAAAGGGTTGTTATTCTGTGATTCTGTGATTTTTTCTTTTTTTTTTTTTTTTAACATCAATAGTCATACAGAGTTTTTTACCAATATGGACAGTGACAGCTCTGAAAACATAAATAATAAAAATATTATTTGAGAATGCAAATTAATATATATCTTAGAGGAGTTATATCTTCATATTTTTTATTCTAGAAGACTTTAATAGAAGGCCATGTCCTTTTGTTTCAAGATGATATATTTCGTTATCAGTGCTGATGGTCACCTGACCCTGTGGGCTTAGGGAGATAGAAGACTGCCAGTGCCATGTGGATCCTGACAGATGTCTCTGAGTATTTACAGGCCTTGATATATATGCAATCTATGGATATTTCAAAACTGATTAACATTTCAGAACCTGAGTTAAAGTTATACTTGGTATTTCACTAGTGTCAAGGCAAAATTAATCAGAGCTCAAAAGATATGCACTCTTGCTGACATGCTAGTGACAGTGAAAATACAAACCACTGGGAAATATTCTGCTGAAAGACAGACTCTAAACTGGATTTTGGAAGAGGATCTGCAAAACTGGCTTACTGCCATGGACAGACTCTGAGGTGGTGTCTAATAGTGTCGTTGGAATATAGTAGCTAAGGTACCAGCTTAAATGACTCAGGGCTCTGCCAAGTTATATGTCCTGTAATAAGTCACTGCAAATCTTCTTACTTGTGAAACATTAACATATTAAATATGCAAACTAATCTCTTGAAACAGTTCAGATAAGAAGCATTTTTAAATGTACCCAGTCAAGTGTTTTTCAGCCAATGAAGCTCAGCAAGCAAATGCTTTCATCTCTGTGGCTTCATGAGAATGGTCAAAATTTATACCTGGTTGTGATTTTAGGCTGTATGACCATCTGTCTTTGAACTAAAAATAAGAGAGCAGAATGATTTTTTTTTCCCATTTGTTTTGTTTGTCTTTTTTTTAAAAAGGTCAGAGATAATCTTTACAAAATTCAAAATATGTTAATTCAAGCCTCAGTGAAAGCTGTTAGGATCCAGTTTGAAAAGCATCAGATCAAATAGCATGCCTTTTTAGAAATCATGCTTTTTATTTGTTCCATAAAGTAGAACCCTAAATGAGGGCTTAGCAGTAGTTTTGCTTTAATTGCACCTAGTATTTGTAGGAATATATGACGGACTCTGTGTCTGTAGATGGGTGTGTGGTCTCTGTTTCCCAGCAGAAGGATGGTGCAGCCCATCTTGAAAAAGCCCATCGTGAAACTGGCCATCATTTTTAGGTGGAGAGTAAGCAAGCATGAGCTACTTGTTTAATTAGTTTTGAAACTACAAATCTTTTGTCATACTTTTGTTCTGGAGAAAAACACTCAGTGAACAGGGAAAAAAAAATAAATAGTAAACAGAATCTACATAGAATCAGCTACCACTGCAAACACTAAAGTCAAAGATAGAGAAGGCCCAGGAGGGGATGAAGTTTGGGGTGAAAAGGAGTTGGACTTTATTGTTTTCTTCCCCCCAGCTTTTAGTATTTTTCTGCTTGCTCATTGTGAAAATTGTCTTAATTTAGCAAGAGCATAACAGCCTCCACTACTTCCACTTATATCTGAATTCAGTACATGGTGACCTGTGTACTGATCCATTGACACAGTGACATGGATTTGATCTAACATCTGGAAACCATTTATGTCTCTTGCATGAAATCTTTTTGATTCCTCTTCACATTTTCCCCCTCTCCTCCCAGGACACTCTTTGAAGTACTTCATGGCATATCCAGCAAGCATTCCTTAATCATCATGGTAGTGGTTGTTCCCATTTAAATCCAGACTACTTAGATTCTCTTTAAAATATCATAGATTTTTCTTACCTTCTAAAGACACAAGGACACAAGGAAAATGGAGAGTCTTCTGTTGTTCAAACATGGTGAGAGGTGTTGTTTCCAGACTGGGAATGTAAGTCCACTTTGGAAACAGACTGGGATTGTTGTAAACCAAAGGGACTAGTATTGTGGTTTTCAGAGATCTTGAACAGTGGGTAAGTGAGAATGGTAAGCAACTCTTGCCACAGGACTATGCTTTCAGCAGTTTTGAATGTGAATTCACAAGTTGCAATCAGATTTTTCATTGCAGCCTGTCTTTAAGTGCTCACAAGTAAAACTGAGAAGACAGGTGCATATCTAATGAAGCTAATTAGTCTGTGAGATTGATGAGATGGGCAAAACAGGATGGAAAAATAGGAAATATTTGAGGGAGATCAAGACTGCATAATTTTTTCCCTTCACTATTTAAGTATACAGATTTATGTCATCTCTGGCAAAGCTGATTGACAGAATTCTATATTGTAAGTTATAAAAGTTATCTTTCTGGAAAATCTTTATTTTCACAGTGCCTCAGCGCAGATGCAGGGAGTATTTTTCCCTTTTACAGTTAGGAGGCTAGAAACTTATTGAAGGTTATATTTACAGAATTCTTGAATAGAGGCCTTCCAAGTCTTAGGTTCAAACATAGCCACTGACCCAGCTGTCAAGTGCTGCTTCCTTACAGTGGTTTATGACTAAAGGATTATCTGCCGGGCATTTTTAGGAAGATGGGAATTTTTACTGTGTGCAGCCCAAGCTGATGGTGACTGTGCAATGTTGGTCACAAGCTAACACAGACTGTTCCTCAAGGCAATTTACCCTGTTGAGCTCCTTGCTGCCATAATTAAATGGCTTTGTGTAGTCCAGCTGTGCAGAAGGCATGTCCTAACTGAAAGGCACAGCTAATTTTCTTTCCTTTGTGAAGCTTTTCTTGCAATAATGAATACTATCCCATGGTTCAAAAGAGGTCATAGCTTCTTTTATGTACAAAGATTATATATGCTTGTTTAGATGACTGGTTTTCAACCTTTCCTGTCTGGTTGACTCCCTAGATTGCTGAAAAGTATGGCTGACCTTGCTGTGCTTAGTTACCTTTTGTGGGTGATGAAACAACAGTCTGTGACACCTTCTGTGGTCTTGGGTCACACCCACTGAGAGACCATTTTAGAAAAGAAAACATTTTCCATTGATATATTTGTAGGTTTGAGTTTCTTTATTATGTGTGAGTTTTTTAAAGGACATTTTATTTTCCCTGTATACAAAGAACAATAGTACTTTAAACATCTGGCCAGAAGAGCATGCAAACATGCAAGCAAGGAATAGATCTGCAGCACAGATCAGAAAGGAGATTCAGATAAAAAATCCGAAATGGTCATCTTATATATCTCTAAAATATACAATACCTGCACTTTTATTCTGTTATGCAGATAGGTATTTGGAGGGTTAAGGCAATGTGGATTATATATTCTTTCAAAAGCTTTGGTTGGGTACTTTGTCCCACTTTTTAACTGAATCTTTCACAGGAGCAGTTAATAGCTCTGCAGATTACTTGGCACTGAACAAACAATACTTTGCAGCAGGCTACACAATATCCTATTTAAAAAGAAGGAAACATTTAAGATCAGTGGTGGACTGAACATGCTTTTTAGGTTGGCACTGCACTTACTTCCAACCCTTATGTTCTTAACTACTCATTACATATAGCTGTGCTAGGGGAACGCAGCTGCAAAACATTGCACACAAACTCCCCGTATACACAGCGTCTTCCTGCATTTTAACCTTCAGGCTGCAGGAATCTGTGAAGTTTTTCTTTTTTGTCTTCTGATTCCAGAAGGGATGCTCAGCTGGGTACCTCAGCCAAGAGTGAACGGTCTTAGTGATATATGCCCCCGGATCTCACTGTGAGTGCAAAGAGAAACAGATTTTCTCCCTTTCATCGTTTTGGGGGGCAGCAGGAAAGCACAGGTGCCCACAGCCAGGCTGGCAGTCCCTGCACCATGCACAAGTTTATTGTGTGAGGAGCGTGGCAGCATGATTGTGCCTTGCTGTCTGCAGCTGGGGTACCAGGTGAGAAATCATTGCTTGGAAGTGGATGGAAAATGCATGTTTGTAAGAGTGGGGCCTTGATACACTGAGCAGCACAGTGACTTGGGGTCTACATCTAATAGCTGAAGAAGGACCAAGGCATCGATACACCTCACTGCAAAAACTCCAGAAGTCCTGTATTGCTGGGCCTGCCAGACAGGATTGAGCACAGCTGAAGTGACCCTCTGGCATGTCCAGATCCAGTGATTGGATCTATGTGGAGCTGTGGCTGTAAAGAACAGGAGCAGCTTTTTCATGTTCTGTGAAATAAGAAGTGCCAAACCACACGGTTTTGTGATAATGTGATTGCAAGATTAATTGGCACATGCATTAGCAAAGGACAGAGAGAAAATTTGCGTTTGCCCGTGGGAAGAGTGAGTCAGAATGACTTTTACCTGTTTCCTATTATGTGTGTGTCACACATATTTAATATATTTAGTTTAATATTTCACTTCATTGTTTTCTTTATTATTTTAATTTTCTGAACTACTTCAGCGTGAAAACATATCACAGAAGATTCTGATACTTTTTATTTATATAAGATGCTTAAATTATACTTCTGAAGTTACTTACCCAGTGTTTTATTTATCTTGCAGTCATGATTATTTAGAGCCTTCTCCATCTGCTTTTATTTAATTATGACTGTATAGACAGCAGCCACAAAGATAAGCCTCTTCAGGTTGATCTGTTGCACAGAGAGCTTTCTGTACACTGTAATGAGCCTGCTTGACACCTGGCAATTAAACAGAATAGACCTTTTTTTTTTTGCTATTCAGGAGAGTTGGCACAATATCAGGCATGCAGTGATGTGACTTGGTTCTCACATGTGGGGCAGACTCTCCCTGGCAGTATGAAAAGGACAGGTGAAATAAATTAGAGAGTTGCCAGCTGCTTTAAAAAACCCTGTTCAGCTTCATAATCTGGTCTTGTCAAATTTCTGGAATTTGATGCATTTTTGTTTCAATGTCTTCTTCAGCCTTTTCAACTGCTGCCAGAGAGAGTCTCCTACAGAAGTTCTTGCTGCTTAAAATTCAAGAGTGCTTTCAACTCCCCCTCTAAGGCAGGGTTTGTTACTGAATAAAGATATTCCTTATCACTCTACTTATTTAATATATCCTTTTTGATGCTCTAAAAGTGATAGAGAGACTGGAGTCTGTGTATGCCTGTTGGCTAAAATCACACTCTTATGTATCTGCCTATTGCTTGGACAGTAACACTGATTCCTGTGGGATTTCTCCAGGTTCCTTCCTCATGTAACCAAAAGCCAGATATGCACCTGCATTTTCTGAGTGCAGAGGCACAACCCCAGTTCTCTTTATAAAGAAACGATTTTGACCAGCGTGGACTATTTATCTGTAGCCTTGAGTGTATCTTAACTCTTCATGGATGTGACTTGGATCTACAGTTGCTAAGGTCAATGAAAATAAAATGTTAAATTAAATGCTTATCGGCAGCTTTATCACTAAAAATATATGTATTGCACATCCACAAAGGTAATAGCTTGTCTTTCCTTTTCATTATTATACCTTTCTTTCTGTGAGCAATGTCCTCTAAATTAGTGTTGAGCCACTAACCATTTCCAAAAGTGTGTTTATTCTGTCATTTAAAGAAGCAAACATTGTAATTAATTTAACAGTAGGATAAAATTGATTTATTTTGATCCAAACATTGGAAGAACTCCTTGAACTTAACCTTAAAACAATGATGAACCAGCCTTATTTCTCAGTGGTTTCTAATGTGACTTGGATCTGCTCTGCCTTAATCCTCATGCCACTCAGCTACCCACTGTGAAATAAAAAAGGTATCTCCCACAGGGAAAGTGGCAAAAAATGCTTTCAAAACTTGCTTTTTAAAAATAATCTGTAAGAAATGAAAACTTTTTTTGAAAAGTTTCTTCTTGGTCACATTTTTCTGGTGTTTTTATTGGCAAACTAATGCTGCCTCACTCATCTCAGCAGTGAGAGTGTTTCAGCTCGGATTCATAGCTACAAATACACACTGGCCATTACTCATGGACCTTGTGCAATGACCTGGATGCACGAGGGGCGAGCAGTGGACATTGTCTACCTGGAGTTTAGCAACGTTTTTGACACCGTCTCTCACAACATCCTCATAGGCACACTCAGGAAGTATGGACTGGATGTTTGGACAGTGAGGTGGATTCTAAATGGCAGATCCCTGAGGATCATAATCTGGGACACAGGATCTAGTTGGAGGCCTGTCACTTGTGGTGTCCCCCCAGGTTCAGTTCTGGGCCCAGTATTGTTTCACTTACTCACCAGTAACTTGGGTCAATGCTTAGACACCTTTTCAGGAAGTTCGCTGACACAAAGCCTGGAGGAGTGGCCCTTCAGAAGGACCTCCACAGATTGGACAGATGGGCAGAGATGAACTGTCTGGAGTTCAGCAAAGGCAAATGCAGGGTCCTTGACCTGGGGAGGAATAACCCCACGCACCAGGACAGGCTGGGGGCAGACCTACTGGAAAGCAGCTCTGTGGAGAATGACAACAAGCTGTCCGTGAGAAGCATATCCTTGTGGCTAAGAAGGTCAACTGGATTTTGGGGTACATTAGGTGGAGTATTGTCAGGAGGTTGGGGGAGGTGATCCTGCCCCTCTTCTCAGCCCTGCTGAGGCCACATCTAGAGTGCTGTGTCCAGTTCTGGGCTCCTCAGCACAGGGGAGCTCCTGGAGCAGGTCCAGTGGAGAGCTACAGAGGTGATTAAGGGACTGGAGCATCTCTCCTATGAGGAAAGGCTGAGAGAACTGGGCCTGTTCAACCTTGAGAAGAGACAGCTGAGAGGGGACCTCATCAGTATATATAATATATATAAAAGAATCTGAAGGAAAGATGAGGATTGAACCAGACTCTTCTCAGAGTTGCCAAGCAATGGGACAAGAGGCAACAGGCAGAAACCAGTTGTGATAGATTGGCATTTAGGAAAACAAAGAGAAATACCTAAAAAAAGTTAAAACTGCTGGAGGCTGATGGGAGTTTTTCTTTTGGCCAACAACTGACCATTTCTGAGAACTGACAGCAGTTTTAACCATTGAAAAGTGAGATCAACCTGTGAACACCACCTTAAGACCTAAGCCTGGGAATTTCTTTGGCTCTTTGTTTCCTGGCTGTGGAAGGTGACAGAGCTCCAGGCCTCCCGTTCCCTGCCCAGGCCATGCGGCCCCGTGGGGCAGGGGCTGGGCTGGGCCTGCTGCGGCTCCCGGCCGGGAGATGGGGCCTGCGGGGCTTGGCCCGGGCTCTGGCTGGGCCAGGCCGGTCCCTGGCTCGGCTGCAGTTTTTGCTGTGACTGAATTCACCAGAGACTGACGAGTGAAGAAAGGAAAGAAGCTCTTGACCTGCGGCAGGCTGAGACAGTGACCACACTCTCCAGAGCAGCCATGAAGAATCTTCCATTGCAGACAGCTCCAGCTGCTGCTCCAGCAGAGATCACAGAACCATCTACAAAGC